CATGTTTTTATGAGAGTATAACATTATAACATGATATAAAACTCAAAAAAGTTGATTTTACATCATATTGCCCCTTTAATATTCAGAAGAGCTGCTGCCATGACACACGCTGCAGTAAATTCAATCTGAAAACTGTTTACAGCAATTTAATATCTTCATTTTCCTCTTACTTCCAGAACAGCTGAAGCAGAACCTTGCTCTCCGTCACACACTGGGAGAATCTCTAATTTAAATTAACGTTGTTTTTTTCTGTAACTTGAAGGAATATTCGTCAGCACGTGTAACGTCGACGTGAGATGGTTTCCGTTTGACATCCAGCGATGCGAGCTGAAGTTTGGCTCGTGGACGTTCGACGGTTGGCTACTGGACATCCAGATGAAGGAGGCCGACGTGTCAGGGTACATGCCAAATGGAGAGTGGGATCTGATGGGTACGTAAAGTCTCCCACACACACACAAGTTTGTATTCCTATCCTTACTAGGACCATTCATTGACTTCCAATCATTTCCTGTCATTTCTATAAACTGACCACCTACCCTAAACCTAACCGCAAAATCATAGCTAAAAGATGCTAAATGTTACCTACTGTGTTTATTCATGTATAATACTAGAAATTTAACCCTAAAAATCATCCATAAAGTGTGTGTGTGGGTGGGGGGTGGAGGGGTAGTATTAAACACGGGTTATTGATAATTAGATTTTTAATGCATTTTAAGCTCAAAAAATGATGATCGTATTATACGGAGCCAACGAGGGGACATGGGGGGATTTTTTTCTTTTGCGTTCCCTCGCAATACTTTTGCGTTCCCTCGCAATACTTTTGCGTTCCCTCGCAATACTTCTGCGTTCCCTCGCAATACTTTTGCGTTCCTTCGCAATACTTTTGCGTTCCCTCGCAATACTTTTGCGTTCCCTCGCAATACTTTTGCGTTATCACGTAATACTTTTGCATTCCCTCGCAATACCTTTGCGATACCTCGCAATACTTTTGCGTTCCCTCGCAATACTTTTGCGTTCCCTCGCAATACTTTTGCGTTCCCTCGCAATACTTTTGCGTTCCTTCGC